TGAAAGAGGGATTCACGACAAACGGGATTCCTGCCAAGTGCAAGTAAAAGGGGGTCAGGATGTGCGGGGGAACGTCGTAAATCCACCCGTTGAGATGTTGCAAGGACTCTGCTCGTAAAGCCCTATGCCGCGTGTAGAGGGGGAAAGAAGCCCCTCGGGGCCTATTCGCAGATGAGGGAGACGACACGACGGCCTCCGTCTTCAGCTTTTGCCTCCGGTGACTGAATTCCTTTTAAACGGTCGAGGCCAGAAAGGACCGAAGCGCATGCAAAGAGCGCATTTAACGCCAACTCGTTCCATCGCATTAGACTGGATGTTCGCATCGTGCGAATGAAAACCATTGATGCGTGTCGATCCGTTGCATGCAGCCGATTACGCAATATGTAAATCCATTTTTAGAGCTGCCGATATGGAACTACGACGGGAGCTCGACCTACCAGGCGGAGGGGAGCAACTCTGACATCTACCTTTATCCCTGCGCCGTCTACGCTGATCCGTTCCTCCAGGGGAACAACAAGCTCGTGCTCTGCGACACGTACAAGTACAACAGGAAGCCCACAGGTACCGCTGGCTCTTTCGGTCCCCAATTTTTTCGAATCTGTCTTTGCTGAACGTCGAGGGATCCCGCGCAGAGTCGAACAAGCGACACATCTGCAAGACCGTGATGGAGCGGGCGAAGGACCAGGAGCCCTGGTTCGGGATCGAGCAGGAGTACACGCTGTTGGACGACGACATGCACCCGTTCGGGTGGCCGAAGAACGGCTTCCCGGGGCCGCAGGGTCCCTACTACTGCGGAGTCGGGGCCAATAAGGTGTACGGGAGGGACGTGGTGGAGGCGCACTATCGGGCGTGCTTGTACGCCGGGGTGGAGATCTGCGGGTCCAATGCCGAAGTCATGCCGGCTCAGGTGGGTCGAGGCTGATGCGTAGGGATGAGCTCCATGCATTAGACTTCTACTGAGGTTATGTGATAACCGTGTAGTAAGGAATCTAGTTTTTCACGCATGTCGCTTCAGTGAAGCGACGATGGAATTCTAAACGGGAACTGATCCCTGTAGTTTCAAAGCTGCAAGCAGCTTTGAAACTACAGGGATCTTGATAAATTCTTGCTCGTTCCGTTGAGCTGACCGCAGCGATCTTCGGTGTACCCCTAGTGGGAGTTCCAGATCGGTCCGTGCGAAGGGATCCGAATGGGTGACGATCTCTGGATGGGGCGGTTCCTCCTCCACCGGGTGGCGGAGGACTTCGGGATCGTGGTGTCGCTGGACCCGAAGCCCATGCAAGGGGATTGGAACGGGGCGGGGGCGCATACTAACTTCTCCACCGCGGCCATGAGGGAGGAGAATGGGATCGCGTGAGTTGGCTTTCTTTCGTGGGGCGTGTCTCCTGATCGAAGGTGATCGATTTTTTGGTATTTTTTAAATAGGGAAATCGAGAAGGCGATCGATAAGTTGTCTCGACATCACATTCGTCACATCAAGGCGTACGATCCGCACGAGGGGAAGGATAACGAGCGGCGGCTGACGGGGCTGCACGAGACCTCGTCCATCCACGACTTCTCTGCAGGTTCGTCTCGTTTATTTTTCCGAACGCGGCAGTCGGGCTTTTGTTTCGCGGGGTTTATTTTGGGTGCCGCATCGTTCGTTGGATGCAGAAAGACTGGTTTATCGGCCCTGCCCCGTTGCGGTTGGGACTGACTCCATGTTTCTGGTTGCAGGTGTGGCGAATCGCGGCACGAGCATCCGGATCCCACGGACGGTGGCCGAAGAGAAGAAAGGCTACCTGGAGGATCGGCGACCGTCTTCCAATTGCGACCCGTACTCTGTCACCGAGGTCATCGTTCGCACTGTGTGTCTGGATGAGTAGGAGGGAGATTCTTTCCCCCCCCCCCCTTTTTTTTTGTCCTTCCGTTGCATTCAGTATTGAGCAAGGGGGGTTTTTGTGCATAATTATACAAATATACAAATGGGTTCGTTTTATGAATTCGGCGGGGGACGCGGTGGTTACTCCGGTAAGATATACTTTTAGATGCAGAAAACCACGGAGATGCGCAGGGAACTTCCCCCTCTTTTTCGTGTAATTATTTTCATTTCGTCGCTGAGGGCGATCGTCAGTCGCCGTTTTGGGTAATGAATATTCCGCCTGCGATCTCCGATTTTAAGGATGGTGTGAAAGCATGTGACTGTGACCTGTGACTGGAATTTGTGATTGATTATCCTCCCTTTTTTATTACTCTTGGATGCACTGTCTGCCGTCGAAGAATAAATTTAAATGATTTCAGGCAATCTCCTTACTTTCCCAGCAGACGACTGAAATCGCTCAATTCTCCAAGGAGTGGTTCGTGTCACTTGCATGGGGTGCAACTACCAAAATAGCCACTCGTGGATGGTTGGGACAACGTGTTTCTCTTCTACTTGTTTCAGCTTTGGCACTGCCAAAACCAATTTAAGTCGACCCTCATCTAAAAGAGGGTTGACTTCAATTGAATTAGACTACTTACGTGAAGGATGGGTGGGTGGAAAAAATTTAACTGAAGGAAAATGACCAACCTAAGGAGGGGACACTAAGATCAATTAGAAGGTAAGGAAGGTGAATGAGAATCACTCATCAAATTTAAGTGATGGACTCTTGAAACTATAATGGCGTTGGCATGTTCCTCACTTGTAGGTGAGGGAAACGATAGCGAAAGTTGCATCGGCTTTGATGGGGCCTTGGGGTTCCATCTTTGGGCTCGAGTCTTGGAATTGGTACTTAACTGTTTCGACTTTCAACCGTCCTTGAAAAATACATGGATTACTACAGGGGAAAAAACTTGTTAAAGACCTCTATCCTAATTGAGCAATCGTCTTCGATACAGAAAGAGTTCTCTGTGGAGTCCTGCAATTCGATATCCTGTCTCGATCCGTTTGGGAACTGTCTAATATATGCAGGTAAGAATGGACAGATATTAGTGGATAGGTTTTTTTTTTATATTTTCTTTGCAAGTAACCTATGACTTCAAGACTTATTTATAATGACAAAATAAAACATATGATAGACTAAGCAGTTGACTTGACTTTCGGTGCACTATATTTTAAATTTTTGTCGACGATCGCTTGTCTTTTTCTCGGACATTAGTATTTTACTTCAAATGAAACTTTCCGTCTGAGTGACTAACTGGACGAAGAAGGGCAATCGTCTTTAATCGAAGAGACCAAGACTGGTGGAATTTGCTTACTTAACGGTCCTATCGCTGAATGAACAACAAGGAGTCCCTTGAAACACGGATACTCCCGTTTCCTGAGACGACGGCGAATAAGCAGGTGATGACCGGAAACGTTTCGTCACCACCGTTTCATACGGTCGACGAATAAATATAATATATCGACAGAAGTTTCCCAAGTTCGACGGTAGTGGAATCACGAACCGGACCGCGACCGAGTAGAAACGAACCCTCGTCTCCGAGACGTTACGCAAGTCCATCGAGATTGATTGATGACCCCGGCCACGGAGTTAGCGAATCGCGTCGCCCGCATTCCGCGAATTCCAGGACACATGGCCTTAAGTGCACGTAAGCCCTGCCGCCCGTTCTCCCCAAAACTTCTATGTCAAACCGACTTGATTGTGATCCCATGTGCTAGAAAGGGAGGATGATGGATGGATGCGATGAGCAGAGGGTTCGCATCTCCCATCTAGGCAGGGGAGGAAGGGAAAGAGGAACACCACCAAAGCAGACGGCGAAGGCGAAGCCCCATTTTCTTCCTTGGCTTGGAAAGAACCACTTTATTCGTAAGTGTTTGCATTCGATGTTCGGGTAAACGAAAACGTGCCCAGCGGCATAAAATGATAAATCGGCAGTTAATTATTGTTTCATACACAATTTGTTCAAAAACTTTTCCTGCGATATTAATGCTTTAGTCACCGAATAACAGCACGGTGGCTGATGCAGAACCTAAGCTATCTCTTGACCCCTGTGAATAGAGAGAAAGTTAATACAATTGAACGGGCATCGCGAGATAAATCCTCGGCGAGCCAAGCGGTTTTCCACGATGAAGACAGCTTCGTTCTCCTGGTCCAATCACGGCACCCATTTCATCTAGAATGCTCCCATAGATACCTAAGTGAGACCTCCATGCAGCATCCTCGAATGCACGGGTCCACGTGTGGGAGAAATTGCAGTAATAACAATCGCCCCCTCCTCGTTCAATATCATCTCTGTGGAAAAATTGGAGAGAGCCCAACAGCAAACAATCATCAGCATGAAAATCGAAGGAACCCTCGTATCAGGAATTCAATCACTTCGTAGGATGTTGGCCGTTGCATTAAAAAAATATGCCAATAGAGGGGTGGAGATTCAATTATAGATAGACCCCAGCCGCATGCAAACCAAATTTTTCTTTTCAAATTTTCTCTCTGGCGCTCACGAGGAAGTTTCACTTCGTGTGCCTCTCGATCCGATGAGCCATCTTCGAGGCAGCACTCTTTCTGATGTCCTTTTTTTGGCATGCTAGAAAACCCAAACTGGCACTGAAATTTTGCCACAGCCAGAGAAGAGAGGTAATCCTGAATCAATTCGTTCTTTCCATAATGAAACTGGGAAAAGGAATTTGCCTTTCCTTCCTCCATCGTCCGGATACGAATTCCTTGAGGGGGAATGCACACCCTCATTATATCCGCGAGCGGTTCTCCCTTCCCAACACATGCCGTCAGTAGTTTGATGTATTTTACTCGGTTCTGTTGTCTTCTATCCCCATATTTACATCCACTCGCTCTCTCGCTTGAGCTAGAGCCCCGCTTGATTGCAGCAATCACAAAACTTGCAGCAGCAGCTCTCATAAATGTAGCAGGATTGTACATGTTTACTATTTTTTAATAGGATTGAACACATTGACATATCTGGACGAACTCGACGGGCTATTGATGCTGCAAGAGCGATGAATGTATTATTAAATCAGCGAAACCGCTAACAGCGATGTTCTTATTTCGAAGAGTTTGCAGAAATAGTGCCTGGAGACTGACGAAGATTATCTTTGCTGTCGTTCCAGGTAGAATTCTTCTTGGCAACTGGATTAGTGTGTGCGAAGAATGACGTTGATACGACGTAGGGGTGACCCCCCCCAGACCGGGAATCCAGCCAGTCATCGCCATCACACCTTGCACTTATGTGCGATCGGTCGGCACGCGGCCAGTCATCGTTTCCTGCTACTCTATTGCGACGAAGATGAGAAACAAGGAGCTACCTCATCGCCCTATCAAGTTTGAAAGGAGGAAAAGTCATTCAGGGTGACCCATTTAGAAAGTTGACCGATGAATGTCAGCCTCCTGTAGGCACTATTAAACGGTATGAAACAAACCGGGAGGCGGGAGTACTGAATACAAATGCGCTACTCTTTCAAAAGTAGCGACGAGAGTAGCCGGTGGGTGAGGGCACCACCACACTCACTGCATGGTGTGGTGCACTATCCCTCCCCCCCCCCCCTCCCATTCGTTCAATCCGCTCGTTAATTTTGGAGGATACTGTAACTTATCAGCCAACTGTACAAATGAGTCATCCTTTACGTAGCCCCATCAACTGCTCTAAGTGACAGTGACATCCACTCATGATGCAAAACTTGGAAACTAAGTGCACTAATGAGTGCACATCCCAATTCCCAAATATAGAATTTGAAGTTAGGATCGCTGTAGACAACAAAGTTAAACGAATTGATTTAATTTTCATGTTATAAAGGCTAACAATGTAGATTTGATTGATTTTATTAAGGAAAAAAAAACGCTTCAAATTAAATAGTTCCATCAAATTAGGTGAAACCCCTGAGGTCTGTTTCTTCCTACTTCCAATATGCTAACACTGATCAAGGAGCAGGAAAAAAAAATCATTGCACAGCTTGGGCAAGGGATAAGAAATGTTCAACTCAAATGCCAAGCCACTCAGAGCGTGATGAGTGAAACATGGAATTCGTAGCCGCTGAAACAATTAAGATCTACTCTTTACTCTTAAGGACCCTTCTTCTTCTCGAGCGAGACCCGACGTCGCCGGTGAGATCCCTCAATGTGCACAACCATGTGGCTCTTCACCTCAGACTGCAAGTAGGATGTGAAGGGGCAGAGCACACAGAAGTAGACGTCCGATGCGCCTTCGATCGAGGATCGTCTCGACCAGATGTATCGATCCACCCTGCTGACCTGGGAGAAGAACAAAAGTCCCAGTCTTGTAACGAACCAGATCCAAGAAGAAACCCAAAATAAGGAATCGGACTGGATCCTCTCTGGAATTCCGACACGAGTCCACCGAGATTAACACCAACAGTGGTTACAATTTCGGTACTGAAGCTTTATCAGGTATCTATTTACGCATTTTCTCTCAAGGATTGTCAAATACAGGATGTCCATTAAGTGACTACCTATGGGCAACTTTTTCATACTGAATCTGGGGGAACCAACTTTTGTTATTTTGTTATTTGTAGGTTGTTTATCATTAGACCTCGGAATGGTGTCCCATCTTCTGCTTCTACACTCTGTCACTGAAAATTCATTTACCAAACCCATGTTTTAATTACAAGTTCAGACATATGGAGTATAGCTTGCCAAATTGTCAGCCATGGCAAACGGCTTCCACGATCTCCGCATTTTGATCCCTTGTGATCTTTATTATTATCTGGGGCAACTTAAAAGGCATTGTTTACAAGGACAGGCTCACAGATCTGAACAACTTGAAAGAGAATATCTCTAGAGCCATGTGCCAGAAAGGTGATGGAATTCTCATGGATGGAGCCAAAAATGCAACTGCCAAGGCTAAAAAATGTCTGGAAATCGGCGGTCGACATATTGAGCCAATTTGTCGAGTAAATTCCATATTTTTATGATTCTTAATTCCCAAAACGCTCTATTATTCAATCAATACCGTGATAACTGCAAGAAGTTGTTGCAATAGGGTCGAACGGCAAAATTTCCCTCGAATCGTTGTCTGAATTTCTTCTCCATTGAAATGAATGAAAAAAATCGTGATACACCAGATGTGGGAAATTGATTCTCGGCCGTGCCAAAGTGGAAGGAGAAAAGATGACACTATTCCAAGGCCGGTACGTTGTCAGTCTACAAAAAAAGGCTACTTCAGGGTCTACAATAAAAAAATTCGCCCATAGGACTTTATGGACATCCTGTATTCTCATTTTACTTCCAAGAGGGTTTTCATGTTCAGAATGAGAATATTATACCATCACACTGAAGAATTGGCCTTAACCCCTTCATTGTGCTATTTCCATCATCCATTCCTAATCTTCAGTACAGATTGTGGCGCAATATTAC